AAGTGAAATAAGCCAGAAAGAGAACGAAAAATACAATATGAGATCACCCACATATGGAATCTAAAAAAAAACAAAAAAACAAAAAAAACCCAGAAACAAAACATAAATACAAAACAGAAATAGACTCACAGACAGAATACAAACTTGTGGTTGCCAATGGGGTGGGGGGTTGGAATGGATAGACTGTGATTTCAAAATGTAGAAGAGATAAACAAGATTATACTGTATAGCACAGGGAAATATATACAAGATCTTATGGTAGCTGATAGAGAACAAAATGTGACAATGAATATATATATGTTCATGTCTAACTGAAAAACTGTGCTCTACACTGGAATTTGATACAACATTGTAAAATGATTATAAATCATTAAAAAATGTTAAAAAACAGAAACAAAAGCATAGATGAATCCAAGTTATGTTTCTGACAGATGAACTAAATTAAGATTATTTGCTGTGACTATAAGTATCCCCTTAAATACTGAATTTGCCTTTTAGAAACTTCTGCTTAGAAATCAAAGAATACATTTCATTATTTCTTGAGACGAAGAGGTGACACTTAAAGTGGACTTATTTAAAACCAAAGTTCTCCCCTTTTAATAGAAAGTTTAAGTTATCAAATAGCTTTAACAGAAAGAAGCAGAAAGCCAGTTTTCTTCTGGGATCTTTCAAGTATATTTATTATCAAAACTCAAGGTTAGTAGGTGTTTGAATTTTTCCTTTTAAGTGTTTATTTGCCCTAGTTAGCTTAGAAACAGTAATTAAGAGTTTAGCGTTTGAATCCTCCTTGATTTTAAGGTGGCAGGTTTTCACAGAGTAGGAGAAAGGAAATGGCACCAGTGGTTGTACCAGTGCACAAAATAGCTGTGCCAACAAAGAAGATGGAAAGAGGAAAAGGAGGCCTCAGAAGCCATTTTTTCTTACCTCATTTGTTTTTTCACCTCAATTAATTTAGAAATGGTATTTTGCAAAGAGGTGATTGTGGGATTATGGATATATTTGGAAGACTCCCTGTACCAATTAAAATAGATGTAAAATTCAGTTTGTTTTATCTTAAAGCTGTGGATTTCTAAGTTAGTTCTGAGAAAAACAAGTTTGAAGATTGAAAGTTCATCATAATGGCCACTAGATTTCCAGATTATTCTTGGTCATATTGGCCCATTTAGTTTAAAATGTGTATGTGTAAGGTTCATAGTTCATAAATGTAAAACCAGCTAGGATACCTGAAGGAGGACTACCCTTAGATCATTTAGATTATTGGAATCCTATTTCTCAGGTTTTCCCCAAGAAAATTCCTAGCTAGTCCAATTACATTCCAAGAGGAAATGTCCCAAAGTATTAGTACACTTCTGAAAGGAAAATAATAGATTACTTCCCAAAGACAAAGCCTTGACAGCAAGGAAAGAGCCTTGAAACAGAAAGGACAAAGCCTTTCCTGATCCTGAATTAAGTTGGAGAACTCAAAATGCAAAGAGAGTGGAACCCAGAATCTGAGAGAGTCACCAAAAAACAATAGTTACCAACTCTTGGATGCCATGAGCACAAGGGCTCAGTGTGGGTACCTTGCATGATTCCAGGGGTCACTTCTATCAGATCCTACTTCTGACACCATAACTGTCAATTCTAAAAAATAAAATGTCCAGTTATCTCACCAGCACAATGAGTCCATTTGAGAATAGCCTGAGGAATTGCAATTTGGAAAATGTAAGCCATGATGGGCCATAGGAAAATTGAAATAACAAAGGATAGGAGCTTGCTTTTATAGAGAAAAGGAGGAATTATCAGGGACTGTTTTAAATTAAAGTTCATTGGAGGAAATTAAGAGTTCAGGGTGGTGATGTCTTCTCATTGGTTGAGCTGTTGTATTTTTCATTGGCTAAGCTTACTTCTGGGCAAGAAGAAAGTCTCCCTTCCTTCTCCTGGGGTAGTAATGTAGCAACCCTCATCCTTGAGATGCAAGGTACAGTTCTTCCTGTCTGGGGTAATTGATTATGAGTGGTAGGGTGTGAGCTCCCTCTACAGGCCTTCCCAGATCAAATTTTAGTTAATGTTTCCGTTATTTTTGGTTATTTTTTAAACACTTTTTATTGATTTATAATCATTTTACAATGTCGTGTCAAATTCCAGTGTAGAGCACAATTTTTCAGTTATACATGAACATATATATATATTCATTGTCACATTTTGTTCTCTATGAGTTACCATAAGATTTTGTATGTGTTTCCCTGTGCTATACAGTATAATCTTGTTTATCTATTCTACATTTTGAAATCACAGTCTATCCATTCCCACCCACCACCCACTTGGCAACCACAAGTTTGTATTCTGTGTCAATGAGTCTGTTTCTGTTTTGTATTTATGTTTTGTTTTTTGTTTTGTTTTGTTTTATTTTGTTTTGTTTCTCAGAATCCACATATAAGTGATTTCATATGGTATTTTTCTTTCTCTTTCTGGCTTATTTCACTTAGAATGACATTCTCCAGGAGCATCCATGTTGCTCCAAATGGCATTATGTTGTCGGTTTTCATGGCTGAGTAGTATTCCATTGTATAAATATACCACCACTTCTTTATCCAGTCATCTGCTGATGGGCATTTAGGCTATTTCCATGTCTTGGCTATTGTAAATAGTTCTTCTATGAACATTGGGATGTCAGTTTTATGTAGGGTCCCTTCTGGATATATGCCCAGGAGTGGGATTCCTGTGTCATACAGTAAGTCTATTCCTAGTCTTTGAGGAATCTCCATACTGTTTTCCATAGTGACTGCACCAAACTACATTTCAAACAGCAGTGTAAGAGGGTTCCCTTTTCTCCACAGCCACTCCAGCATTCGTCATTTGTGGACTTTTGAATGATGGCCATTCTGACTGGTGTGAGGTGATACCTCATTGTAGTTTTGATTTGCATTTCTCGGATAATTAGTGATATTGAGCATTTTTTCATGTGCCTATTGATCATTTGTATGTCTTCCTTGAAGAATTGCTTGTTTAGGTCGTTTGTACATCTTTGGATTATGTTGTTTGTTTTTTTCTTATTAAATCATTTGAGCTGCTTCTATGTTCTGGATATCAAGCCTTTGTCGGTTTCATTTGCAAAAATTTTCTCCCATTCCGTAGGTTGTGTTTTTGTTTTACTTATGCTTTCCTTTGCTGTGCAGAAGCTTGTAACTTTCATTAGGTCCCATTTGTTTATTCTTGCTATTATTTCTAT